AGTGCCATTGTTAAAGAGGACTAGAATTATTTCCTTTTGATTAACATTTGATTTAATTCATGAGCCCCCTTCCTTTCTTCCGAGTCCCTTTCAGGACCTCAAGGTAGATTGCATATCTAACTTCATTATGTAAATAATTTGGGTGATTCCTCCTCTCAAGGCATTTACAATTATTTTCCACCGAAAAAAAAAGAAAAAAATGATAACACTTAACAGAAGAAAACGTGTAATACCATAAACTACCGCTTATAAGCCCTGGGCTTATGCAATTTCCTAGCGGGTTTAGGAGGACTCATCAAGTGTCAGAGGTGGCTTACAACCGGAATAGAAAAAGCACTTCGAAACGAGCTCTAGGAGCGCTGAAAAAAATAGGTTTTGCCATTTAATTTTACGTAGTGGTTTTAAAAGCTTTGAAAAGTTACTTTGATGGTATTTTGCGATAAAGTTTCAGTTATATAAAGAGCTTGTAATTAAAAGAAGCAACTAACGCATTGTTCCATAATAAATTTCAATTTTTCTTTTAAGAAGTGGTACAGAGTTCCTAGTTCCTTCCTCTCAAAACGTAAAAAAGCCAGAGGGGGGCTTATACCTGGAAGAGGGGGAACTTATAATTAAATTTATTTTTTTAGATCACAGGTAGGTGGCCTATAACCAGTGGAGCGTCTTAGTGGGGTAGCTTAGAAGCGGCAGTTTACGACATGTAAAATATTCCTTACGTACTTGGATTTAACATGATATGGGGGAGCTTAGAAGCGGCATGATGTTCTTTGCTTTTTTTCAGTAAACTTAATCTTCTTAATCGTCTTAAAGGAAATTTCTAACATCCTTAGAGAAATGCAAGTGCAATAATAGGTATAACTCGAGTTAATATTTACAAAGCCAATATACATAACAACCGGTACTTGCTAAACAGTAATTCTCACCTTTTGACAACTAGGAAAAACTTTTAATTGAAAATGCTAATAAGTTGGAAATATCCGCTAAAAAATTATGATCTTAAGAATCAAAACTACAAATCAAACAGTTGTCGAGGTTGTCAAACTTTTTCATTTTCTTTTCACATTAATTTTTGGACAGAATTATGAGGATAATTCCTATAAGCATCGCTTTGTAGTAATCTATTTTTCCCGTTTGCTCTGTTTTTTGCTTCTTATTCTAATTTCTTTCATCAACCAGTGAAGCTGGTTCAGTTGAAACAGGTGATTAACATCTTTTATTCAAAAAATGA